TGTAGAAACTATAGTTAACTATAGAAATGCTGAAGCCTTCCCTGTCAACCACTGAAAGCAAGAAACAAGATCCAAAACAGTGAAGAGTGCTTTTGTGAATCCCTTACAGAGGAGAAATCTGCTGCCCATGAAAGCAGTTCTCAGCCTGATGGTGTGTCTCTCCCTTTTCCTGTGTACACAAATGAGGCAGATCAAAGTTCAGACAGTACTAATCTCCTAATCATACAAGCTTCTGATTAGCATTTTTAATCAGTCTGGTGATCACAGGGCAGCCTCAAAGTTGTTCTTGAATACTAAACTTTCAGAACAGAATTCTGAATCACTTTTATTTTGCTGAGGGTTTTTTGAGAAATGTGTCAGGTAACTCTCTGTGTAGGTTATCTCAAAGGGAAAAGGTGTGCTGCAGAATTCAGCTCCAGTTACCCCTTACCAGGAGGGCCTATTTGAGTACATTTGAGGTATTCACATGGAGGTTGTTACTGGAATGATGTCCCAACACTTTCATCTGATTTAAGACATCCATGCTGTGTATGAGGGTACAGTGATATAGTGTTGGGCAAAAAAGAAGCAAATGTTTTCTGCATAAGGTGACATTAGAGAAATTTGCATTTATTTTTTAAGTCTTAAATTATTGCTATCTCTTACTGCAAGCAGAACAATTGTATATGAATTCAGTGAAGCCTTCCATTAATAGTTTAAAAGCAAAAGAAAAGTAAGACACACATGGTTTTCTGAGTGATGCTTTCTCAGTGAGTGGTTTGGTGATACCTCAGATGTTATGTTTCCAGTATAATCAGAACAAAATGTTTTCCAGACTAGGTCTAGGATTGCTGAAGGAATTACATTTTGGAAATTAAAGGTATATGAGAAATATCATCAAAACAAAGTGTAGAGGAAGAAAATATTAAATAGCAACTTGTCTTTAAGCCAAACACAAGAAGCAAATCTTCTTTCTTATTGCTGTGTTTGTCATTGTGATAATTTAACTTTTGTGTATGTCCCACGCCAAAATGTCTCACTAGATGCACATACTAATGTTAGTTTCATCTAGCACTGCCAAATGTGCTTGTTTTTCATCTCAAGCACAATTAGTATCTTGAAGTGAGAAACAGCCAAAAGGCTTTGAATTAGGGAAGTGTCTCACAGGAGATCCATGAAAGCATCTCATCTGAGGAGAAAATATTGCTGCTGAGAGTTGAAGGAGAAGTATGTTTGGATTAATTTTATGTGGCACCCCTAAAAGGAGCAGGAAAAGCAGCAGCATGGCATGGTTACTGGAAGCTGAGGCCCTGTTAGCTGGCCATGAAGACTATTCCAGCATAGAAGAGCTGGGAAGCTCTGGATGATTAGAAGGTGATTGTTTGTGACAGGTACCCAAACAGCCCTAGGAGCCTTTTCAAGTCTGACTTTTCTGGCTGATACAATTGGCATCCCAGTATCAGCCCCTGTGTCCTGTCTGCAAGGTCAAGAGCTAATATCAAAGAAAAGCCAACAATGTTCCCTTAAGAAAGAACCCAAAAATCTCCCATAAGCCATAAAAAATTAACTTAGAGTAAAGGCATTGATGAGTAAAGAGACTGGGATCCTGTCTTTGCTAGTTGGCCCACGTGGTTTGTGTAAGGAAACCATGCAGAGAACCTTAGCTTGGCACTGTCCATAATTACTGTCAAGAAAGAAGCAATCCTATGTTTATTTAGGACCTAATCCCTGGCAAAGAAGGGCACACAAATATGACTTGACAATTTGCAGAAAGCAGATCAATATTTAAGTGTTGAACTGTAACTCCAGGCACCCTACCTCCTTAGGTGTGTGTATATATACCCAGATGCTTCTTTAAGCGCTGCTGAAAGGTGCTTTGCTGAACCATACTTGAAATTTAGAAAGCAGATCCATTGTTGGCATCAGCACTGTGGATTCAGCCAGAGCTTCTGTGATTGGTAAACCCAGAACTGGGAGCACTATATGACAGAGAAGCTCCAGCTGTAGTACTCAGGATTTATCCAGGTGCTAAGATCCTCCATGTCTTTATATGCATTCTCAGATTTTTATCAGTTCTAGTGCAGAGTTGCTACTTGTGTTATCACATAGTACTTTTGCATGCTTCAAAGGAAAAAGTATTCCTTAATAAAGTTATTTCTATAGTTTAACTCAAACATTTGTATTGCTTTCTAGGCTGTAAATAACTGAACTGTGAGCCAAAATTTAAATGACAAAGAAGTCAGTCTCACATTGTAGCATGGAACCACATTTTCCTTTCACTTACCCAACTCCTCCCTTGTGTTTTATGTCATGCAGTTTTCCTACTGTTGTTCTCTTTAATAATCTTGGGTAATGCTACTTTGTATTTCTGATGAGCATCTGTGGTTATATTCAATGCTTAGCTAGGACCCACACACTCACCAAGACCCTACTTGGGAGTTTAACAACAGTCTGCAGAGATGCTACAAGCAGGAGTTTCTCATATCCTTTGTGCCATGATCAACCCCATATAAGCACAGGAAGGAGGTCAAGCTGGTGCATATAATCTTCCTGCACACAGTAATTACAAATGGTACCAACCACATCTATACTCTTGCTGAGAATCTTGAAGTACAAGAAAATGAGTTGACTCTTTATCTCCCACATGTGCTGTTAACACATTTTAGTTTAGGTACATCAGCTCTGTTCATTTCTCCAAGCCCATAAAAATGTCCTCTTGCAGGACAGAAGGGGAGACATTATGCATATTAGTGGTATTTAATTTGTACTTCTGCTCATAAGGTTTCAATCAATGTCTATCCAAAAAAAAGGATTTTGTTAGAAAAACCTGAATATTTGCACCCTTAAATCAATAATATCTTAGCATCTCTGTTTAAAGCCCTCTAGACTTCTCAGTGATACAGGGATCTGATTAAATTTTTGCCAGATTAGAAGAACTCGTGCAAGTGCATAAAGCCATACTGAAACGGGTTAAATTGCAGGGACTGTTACACAGTATATGCTCTCCACACAGATACTGTCTTTCTCAGTTTCTCAAGTTTGCTGTCTCCAGTGAATTCCAGTGGCAATTAACTTTACTATGTTTTCATTTTGCCACTGGTTTTCTATTTCTCTCTGCTCTCACAGTCACTTTCTCATCTGCCTATTTTTCTGTTTCCCTTATGCTTTCCCTCTGTTTGCTATACAGCTTTGTTCCCCACTTTTGATTTTCTAGACCCAGTGCAAATTTTTCATTTCTACCTCTTTCTGTAAACAAAATTCTTTTCTCCTCTTCAAATCTATACATGGGTTCAAGCTTGGTATCAATTCTAAGCCCTACTCCCAGAGGACTGGGGAAGTTTGACTGTGCTTACCCTTTACTGTGAAGAATGAGGTTAGCTGACATCATGCTGAACACAAGGGACTGGGGCTAATCACAATACTTTTTTCCATCAGTATAAAACACATTTGTTTGCTCTTCATGATCTCATTCCACTCCCAGATAAAGAAACTAAATTCAGCTCCAGAAAATGCTCTCCCTTTTTCTTCTTTCTGGAAAGTTTCATGTGTCTGAAATAAGTTAAATTCAAAACAGCTACTGAGGAGACATCTTCACACACCTCAGTCAACCACACTTTTGTTCAGCTTTCATACCTACTGGGAATTCTTTTCAAAACCCTTTGCTAGTCCCTCAGAATGAGAAGGATCATTAACTAAGCAAAAATTGATTCATTACAGTGAGAAAAATTTTCAACAGCTATGTTTTGTTAGTCCAAACCACAGGCTGCTGTGATCTTATGAATACACAGGAGGAAGCTTCCTGTGTATTTGGAGAATTCTTTCACCAAAAAAAAGCCTCAGTTGGTGTCAGTGCTTGAAAGCCTGAAGGCCAAAGAGGTGTAGTGAAATTCCTTTTGGGATAGCTGGGAGAGATTCAACAGGGCAGCTCCTTTCCTTCATTAGATTAGAAAGAGAAGAAGAGCAACTATTCATCCTTAGTGACTGGAAAAAACAACTGCAAACTCCAAATGCTGTATATACAAGTGCAGGAACATGTGTCCTGATGACCAATGTCCTTGAAACAATATTGGAAAGGTGAGCACTGTCTTTATTTGGTGACTTGTAGAACACATGCTTGAAGGAACCTGGAAAGGTCATCTTGTTAATTCCCTTTTCCTAAGGCAACACCAGCTCTCCCTAATGTTGAGTGGGCTTGTTCTGAAACTTAATACCCATTTTTATACTGAAATTGCTGTTTGACTGCCTATCAAAGCTTTTAAAATAAAATTATGGTGAAAAATGTTAAGAAAATTTACACCTCCTACTTTGGCTGGCATCTTTTTTTAACACTGCTAGTGAGCAGAGCTTGGGTAGTTCTGGGAATTTTCCTCTTCATATGACCATAGATTTTTAAAAACAAAAGTTTTTTCTATTGAAAACCTCCAATGTTAAAGCTAAAAGGAATCTTAACTGTCAATCAGAGATGGGGAAGAATTTCTTACCATTCATTTCTGTAAAGTTAGTAGAAATTATGTTTTATAGGCAGTAGGAAAAAACCAACCTTGTCCTAGAAAGATAAATTCAGTGTATAAAATCATGTAAAATGATAGTCTAGAGGGAATGGTAGAAATCAAGTGAGTGGGAATAGTGCTCAATGGCATGTTTTGTATGCAGAATTCAGGGCATTTATTTCATTGATGTTTCATGTTGTCTCATGTGGAATAGATAAGAAAGGGGGGGTTAATTTGCTCCCCATTATGTTCAGACAAGAGAGGAGAGAATTGAGAAAGCTGGTTTGAAGTTCAGGTTCGGAACAGGAGGGAGAAAGGTTTTTGTCTAAGGAGGCATTTAAAGAAGAGAGAGCTTTGGCACCCAAGAACAGGAGATGGTTCTAAGCCAGTGGGCTGGGCACAGTCATTGGTGGGAGCAGGGAGAGGGAACCTGGATCAAAGTGGATCAGAAGGGTGAGTGAAACAAACTAGACTGGGGAAATGAACACCACTATGTCTGCTTTGAAGATCAAGTCTTGCACTGTGATTTTGAAAAGGGTTGGTGTAGCAGGAGACATCACTGTAGCTGCAGTACATTAAGAATCCTCCACAGAAGTTCCCTTTAAGTTTACAAAAATGGACACATCTGCAGCACAACCCCCTCCAAACCCAGATAACTGATGTTTGTTACCATTAGTGAAAAGACATGGTCAAAGCAAATGTTGGTATATTTTCAAACATTGGCAGGAATGCTTTTTACAGTATTTCCATGTTAGCTTCCTAACAGATTTTACAGCAAAATACCAGGAAAATTTGTGGTTATTGCCAATTTTAACAAGAAATGTTTATCACTGGAAAATAATAAATACAGCACTTCTGTAAATTATTTTTTGCTATTCCTTACTCCTTGCAGAGTTTAGCCAGTTTTTTAGCCAGGCTTGGTCATAAATGTGCTCACCTGCCTCTGAGCATCAGGATAGCCCAGGTTCAGGACAACTCCTAAGAGCTGTCTGCTGTGTTCAGCTTATAGGAGGAGAGCAGTAAAGGTAGCTCTACCCCATAGCCCAATTTACTGGCAGGTATTGTGGGTGTCACCTGCCTGTAATGTCTGACTCACTCCACCATTTTTCTGTTGTTTTCATCTAATATTTAAAATCTCAGATATTCCAGCCACTTTACGTTTCATCTCCTCAGAAAGAAGCAATGTTTCAGAGGTGTTACCATGGCAACAATGGAGTGAGGAAGCAGCTAAACATAAAAGTAAGTCATCTATCAGTAAAACCATGCTTTGGGGTAACTGGAAATTATAAAATGGATAATTTATTGGGCTGTTGCTGAGCATCTGTTTGTCCTTATTGCTTTCTTCTAAGTGAGAACAGTTCACTTTTTTGCATGTGACAAGAAAACAAAACTTCCCTGTACAAACTTTTCAGTAGCTGAAGTCCTTTCTGGCACAAGAGATAATACCATCCTTTGGAGATGACCACTGGAGTTACTTAATCAGCAAGATCAGGCAACTGAACTGGTATTAAGGGTCAGCAGCACCAGCCTCCTCAAACAAATCAGAACTCCCTCTTGATAGCCCTGTGAGCATCGGAGGGCTGTGATACAAGACACCTGCAAAGTTTAATCAGACCATGGGAAAAAGAAGATTAGCCTTACTGGAAGTGAAAATGCAGCTAGATATGTCAAGCCCCTTCCAATTATGCAAATGAATACGCAGAGCAATTCTGCTCAGAAGTGGGTATTAAATTATACTTGTGGATAAATATAAAAGCCTACCTTTGTCCAGCTGTCACTATATATCCTGAAATACCATAATTACCTCTCTCAAGCATGGGAAGGAACAGCTCGTGGCTTTTGCCTGTGCTCACATCATAAAACCTTTCCCTGTGACTTTACTCAGGGAAACTGAGTATTTATGGAACTACGTATTTCCTGTAGTGAGGGTTACAAAGGAAAATCCAATGTTTCAACTGTGTTCTGGGCAACAAAACTCATATAAACCTTTGTAATGAATATCATATTCACTTCAGGCAACAGCAAATTGACCACAGAAACACTTAATACGTTTAAATATTCCATACAAAATGTTCTCTTCAGGTTCAGAAACAAAGCATTGGAAGCTTGGGTTTTATTTGCTTTTTATAGCCTTTTAAACCATGTTTAAGACCATTATATTTTCACTTGTGGGCAAAGGAGTGTCCTGGGAGACATCTAAAACCTCTTCCTAGTGCTGGAAATTGTCTTGATGATTAAAAGAAGAATCATTCCTACCATCAGTGGCCATTAGAAAAATTTTATAATTGTAGACTCTAGATCTGGAGTCTCGAGTCATCTGGAGTCATTCTAGGGATGCACCTCTAGCAAAGCACCAGCTCTTGTTTTACTTGCACACTGAACACCAGCGTGTTGGTGCTCAGGGCGGCCTGAAGGACCCACTCCAGAGCTGCTTTCCCCAGGAAAGGTGCCAGAATGTGCTCAAAATGTCGCCTTTGGTGTTGCCTGGGACCAACTGAGGTTTTTACTGACTTTCAGTTCCTCCAAAGTTGTCCTTGAAACAGTGGTTTTCTTCTTCATAGGGCTCCATAAGGAGATGGAAGCGTTACTGGTGGAGATTTTTGCTCAGAGTCTTGTCAGTATTTTCAGTTCAGCTAAACAGCTGCCACTGCACATTAGGAAAACTCTGAGGTGCAGGAAGGCTGACCAGATCCTACAGGCCTAAAACACTGATTTGACCATGCAGTATTGAGAGCATCTTCCTCCTGGAAGGTCTCACAGAGGGTCAGATGGTAAATGAGATCTCCACATAGCCCACAGCCTCAGTCAGCTATGGGTGGATCATGAGGGATCCGGTCTACTGAGGCTTGGAACACTGGCAAGACCTTGCTACCAGCAAATCCCTAGGAATAGATCCTACCCATACACAGCTGGCTTGGTAGCACATGGAAGTGAACAGCCAGGCCAATTCACAACTGGCTGGCAGAGCACCATGGCATCAGACAGGTTGTAATGATCATCATAAAATACATTCACACCACAGCTTTTGAAAAAAATAATTTATACAATTATTTCTATGTACATGCATCTTCAATAATAACATAAAAATACATCTAAACAAATGTTCATCTGGAGAAAAGTGATGTGCTGTCCCTTTCACAATCATTTTAAAAAGTTGAATTTAGCCTTGGGACTGATGGAGTCTCACAGAATTGGTTATGTTGTTGACATTGACTGTGAAAAAGAAAAGAGAGGTGGGGTTGTGTTTTGTGCAATATTTTGTTCTTGCTGTTGGAAATCTATTGTAATTTTCCTGCCCAAGCTATCAAGATGGTTGATAAGCTGGAAATAAATCAGATCATTGAGGTGAGCGTTTCATAGCAAGCTATTGTGTAACTGAATGGTTTCCTATGTCAGCCTTCCAAACTCTAATAAATTAATTTTTTTAAAAGGCAAGAATTCTGGAAGATTTAACTAGCCTGAAAATTTGTTTTCAGTTTTTAAATTAACCCCAATTAATGAATTTTTAATTATATGCGGAGCAGACCCACAAAATCTCCAGAGGCTTAGCCAAGTGCAAGGGCGCAGCTTTGTTTTAGCTGTTTTTGTCCCCCCAGAACAGATCAGAAGCTCCAAGAGGCAGGCTGCCTCCTGCTTTCCTTTTGCTCTGTGCCTGGCACAGCCTGCTCTGCCATGTGCCATGGCTGTGTGAGCTGCCATGGCAGACATCCTGTAACGCTGCTTGTTTGAGGTGGGAAGGCAGCACGGCCCAGCTTTCGGGATTTGTGCTGCTGCGCTGTTTGGGGTGGTTAGGAAGCCAACAAGCACAAACACCACTCGTTCCCTAGCGATGCACCCTGGGCTAAGTCCTAAGGAAAAGAACTCTTCCAGATCATTGTCAAAACTCAGAGCAAGCCAGTCATGCAGCAAAAAATACTTGATTAAATTCTCAAATACTTAGTTGTTTAAAAAAGTACTTAAGAGTGACACACACAAAATAAAAATCATGCTCAGGGCCTGATACTTTTTCCACATTTGAACAGGCAGGTGAACCAATTCATGTGAGCAGAATTACATGAAATCCAGACCATTTTGCTGTCCCTGAGACAGTGCCCCTGACTCAGAGCTTTGTGGAGGGGATCACACTGAGTTACCTGTGACCAACAGACACCATGATTTTCAAATACTAACTTACAACAGGTAAGTATCCTAACTGCAGATTTTCTTACTTACAGGCTGTTGAAAAAGCCTCAACCAGAAATCAAGGCAACAGAATCCAAAACACTGCAAATCTTCTCCTTGCCTTGATAAAATATCTGTCTAGAATGAATACTCATGATTTCCCTGTTGAACTCAAAGGTACTAAGGCATCATCACACTTTTAGAAATGTATTGCTATTTAGCAAGTGAAATATTTTACAGTCTCAGACTTCACTAAGAAGCATACCCTGAGGGAGAGAGAGAAAATATTTTAGAACTAGCTCAGCAGTACTTTTAAACTTCTTAGTCATACTTCTTTTGCTACCTGAGGAATGCTAAAGAAGTGAATTCAAATGTCTGCCTGATTTTAGGTGATGTGCAATATTTATTTTGAGGGCTCCGGCAGCTTCTTTCACTCTTGAATTATTTACAACATGCACACAGTATCGTGTCTCAATAGATCACTGTATAAGTCCATTAAGTAAAATGAGTAAAACATTTTATATATATATATATATGTGTGTGTGTGTGTGTGTATAGAAACTTAGTAAGAATCAGTATTAATGATCATCCATACACACAAAGGACTAAATAATTTATTGATGATAGAGGCTGTGCTGATGAAAACAAATAGAAAAGCCAGTTAGTCCACCATGTATCTTGAGCACCAATTAGTACTGGAGGCTGCAAAACAAGGTTGAAGAACTTGAGTCTCAACAAGAGTTGTTTTTAATGCCAGACAGCTGACTAGTTTAATTAACTAGTTTAAATGCTGATACTTGGAGGAGTTTGATCCTTTGGTACATTTTGTTTGTTTATGAAAAAGAAAGTATGAAGGAAACCATTTTACCTTTTCTATCATCTTATTTTGTTTTGCTGGACTAGGCTAGATGTGCTAAAAAAAAACCAACAAAGAACAGCCTCAAGGCAGATGTATTAGTCTCTGCATCAGTATCAGTTTCTCTGTTTCTCCAAATGTGATTTCACAGTAGGAATTCCAGTAGGAATTAAAACACTTTCCTACAAAAGACAAATAGAGAATGAGAGCTATGTGCTGCAGAATACAGATGGGACTCAGTCCCTAACAAGGCTGATAATTTTCTTTGGCCCATACTGTTATGTATACACAACCATAAAACCATAAAAAGCTCTCATTAACAGCAAAACACTGAAACTTTGAATGGCTCCCAGCCCTATAGTACAAAATTTTTGAAGAACATGAAAACTGAGGATTCACTTGTCAGTTAGCCAACTCTTACAGCTCTCAGCATTCAAACTGGTTTTGTATTGTACTGTTTTTGTAATGCACTAATTGTTGTGATCAGGACCCTAACAAGGTTATGACTAAAATGGGCCACAGAACCTGAATAAGAATCTAGGGAAATCAATGCAATTTTTTTTTTCTTTTTTTTAATAGGAATCAGATCTTTTCCTTACACTGTAGTGAGCCATAGAAAAGAGATGACTATGCAGAAAATAATAAGAATAATAAATTAATTCTGCCCAACCATCATTATTTAACTATTCTTTATAGTCATTCCAGCAATAGCTGCTTTGGATCAATTTGAAAACTGCTGTCTCAGGACATGCTAAGAGAGATAAAAGGATGGACTCTGCAAACCTCAGTTGAAGTTAACAACTGTGATGGATCCAGGCTTCTGCAATTGCCATCTGATTAGATAAACTTGTGTGCAGGGCAACAGAAAAATTCAAAGATAATATGCCTCATATTAGCCTAAGCCTTCCCAGAGAATTTTTTTGGTTTGTATAACGAGATTATTTCAGAGAAGTAGAAATTAAGGAAAACCTTTATGTAGAGTCCTGGGAACATATTTCTGGGTAGTCACCCAGTATTGAAATTGGATTTTTTATTTGGAGAAACCCCAGAAAAACCAGTAGACTGTGCCTGGAGAGAAACTGCAGAGTTTTGTTCTCTTTGTATATCTGAGGAGTTCTCAGATAAAGAGTTTTTTTCATATCTTCATAAGAAGATACTCCTTGTTTGTACAACGGGTTTCCCTATGCACCTCTGCAATGCTTGTTTCATACTTTATCTAAGAAAGCAAAAGTTTAATAAAGGTAATATTTCAGAAACAAAGAAACAGAAATCACAGTTGAGATAAGCCTAGCTACAAAGGGAACAGAACAACTGCTACAGAGCTTACACAGTAGGAATAGAAAGTCATATAATCCTGGCAACGTTAAATGGAAAAAGGTGCTTAAACCAGTGATATCACTGCAGCCACTATTATGAATGATTTACAAAATTAATTGAATTTTTTAATGAAAAAAAAATAGTGATAAAGAACAAGCTAGGACACTTACAACATGAGTCTGTATGTTGGAAGGAGCCTCAAAGGAAATTTAGCAATTCCCCTGAAAACTGGACCTCATTTACAGGATATGTCGCTAAGTCA